AGTTGGTGCGCACAAGACTGGCAAAGTTGGTGATCCGAGGAAACGAAGAGGACAAATTCCAAACCAAGCGAGCCCGTTCAACAGTACTTCGAATCTGCACCCGAAATCGTGACAGGTTGATGGTCTGCTGCACCTCATTTGCAAGTGGTGGTACTGCGATACGAAGGCGCTCACACAAGGAGTGGAGGAGAACCCATCCACACATGTTCGGCTCGGGATTGCAGCGCACAATATGTACTTGGCAAGTAAGCTGAGCTTCGTCAATTTGCGACATGATAAAGGTGGCAAGAGGGCCAGCATGGTGAGCAAGTGCATCCGGCAAACTCATGAACAGAGTCATAGTCGCAGTGGTAGCATGTGCATCGATCTGAGTCCAGCACTGCTCAATGAGAATGAACCACGTGACATGCTGATAAGCTCTGAAATCTCGTCGTTGGTCATCGAAGTAGAAGAGGTTTCCAGAGGCTGCGTCCCATCTTGCCGGCGGCATGAAGCAGAATTGAGGTCGCTGAAAACGAATCGCTTGAAGGACAAAATCCAGCTCATCTGATCCAAGCCAGCCCGGGTACGAGTTGAAGTGCTGAATGCGATGGTGTATGTGGCTATCTGGGCTATCGATGTGGATAGCTGGTGTCTCCTCAGGTTGAGGACCGGCAGCAAGATCATCAAAGACAACAGTGATAGCCTCCTGCAACACTGCATTGCCCCTCAAAGTAGTGGTAGCCAGGAAGCTGAAGAAAGCACGACGCAGAGTGGCTGCAAAGAACCAAAGCCCATGCGGGATGCCATGCTGGTTCCAGTCCTCAATAGAGTCCTCGATAACATCGTCAATGAGAGCACGTGCAGCGATGGAGGTAGTGGCATAAAGGTCACCATTGAGCGGCATGTGGTCCAGCATCCCTGCAGCCGTGGTCCACCGATGTAGTAGAGCCCACCCACAGAAATGGTTGACATCATCAAGTGGGACATGACTATATTGGATCCTCTCGGGCGTGATGTCGAGGAGTTCAGCAACAACTTGCAAACCACTTCTGAGCAAAGGCCCAGGGAGACCAACGAAGGTGACATGGGTGTTGGCCCCTTCTCGCTGGATCTCAAAGGCTAGCCAGTGCGAACCAGAGAGGATCGGAAGGATGTTGAGCCGGTTATTGGCAATGAGAATCTCCTGATAGTCATTCGCATCAAGGTTGGCCGTCTCCAGATTCCAACGAATGGCAGGATGGAAAATGGCAAACTCAGGTGCAAGCCATGTCAGTTGCCGCAGGAAGAAAGCCATCTCATCAGATGCAAGCCAGCCACCAGTGTTGCTGGCAAATTCGGCTCTTTGCAGAAGATTTGCCCCAGCCGGGATAGTAGTGGACCGAGTTCCATGATGTCCTCCACAGTGAATGTCATTCTGCAGAGTAAGGTGTAAGAAGTCACCGTGGTCGAAGTGGAAGGGTGGTGGACCAGGGTCACTTCCATTCTTGAACATAAGCCGGTAACGGTAGGGGCCAATCTCGAAGAGAGGACATTCAAGCCTTGTTGGAATGAAGAAGCCGCACGTGGTATCCTGAGGCCCAAAATGAAGCAGCACCAATCTGTCTTCCGTGAATTTGGGGAAGACGACCCCATGCGGTGGAAGTCGAAACAAATCACCATGGTCATAAATCTTGAAAGCGAAATGCTGAGTGTCATGATCAAGATGATCCCATAACTCACGAATGCAGCGTAGTCGAGCTTCTGAGTCACCAAAGCCGTTGAAGGTGAGAGTACACGGGGTAGTTCCAAAAGTGACCGTGAAGGTGGTTGCACTCAAAGAAGGGACTTCGATACAGCTGCTCTCAAGGAGGGAGAGGGCAAACTGAAACTGAGTATCGGCGAAGAGGTCATCATCTCCAACGAGCTTGAGACGGAAAGGATCAGAAGGCTGGTCATGAATGGCGTCACAAAGAGGTTGAGGCCCATGCCAATCTTGAGTCGGCGCACAGGTGACATAGTCCTTGCAGATTGACAGGCTGGCAATCGGAAAAGTACGGACAAAGAGGGTCCATTCATGGTATTGCTCGAAGATCTGACCAACAGTCTGGGATGGAACGAGCCTCTCTCCTGTGGCTGCAATGTAGACATGGGCTGAGATGTCAAACTTCCAAGTAAAGCACTTGAGGAGGTCGGAGACAGTCCATGCCAGCTTGACAATGAGATAGGCGATCCTGCCATTGACATGCCGGCAGTGTAATGTGACATGTGAATCATTTGTCGCAAGGTCACTGCGGACAGTGATTTGCTCAATGATGGAATCGAGGCCAGCAAGGATGTAGAAGTCTCGCTGTTCAATGATGATCGCCTTCTGTCCAACAATTCGCCTTTGCCAGACCTTGTTGATTGCTCCATTGACATCCAGACCCCATTGAAAGAGGTAGTCAAGTCCAGCGAGTAACGCCAGAAGAGCATGGGGTGTCGCAATAGAATTCCCAATCTGGCGATAGAGGAGTTGCAGCTGATTCGACAGTACTGTTGGTTCGAAGAGGCCGAGCATCGCAGCAAGAAGTGCCGGGTCAAGGAATTCAGGTCCTGCATCACCATCTTTGAGTGTGGCGAAGATGCCTTTCTGCTCGAGGAGGTGTCGAGGGAGAAGATGTTGAAACCCATAGGCAGCGCACACCGTAGGCACCGGCTCATGAGGCTGCAGGAATCTTGCACGTAGGATGACCTCAGCTGGAGCGGCAGGGTCAAATTTGGCTCTCTTGGCTGGTGGTAGCAACGAGTGCTGTGCATAGGCAGACTGGACCCGAGACGGGATGGCAATTTGATCCGACAACGATCGAGGGAGCTGAAATCGAAAAGATTCCGAAGTCCATCGTTCTGGCAAGGCAGACTTGAGACTCGGCATCGGTTTGGGACCATGATGGACGATGTCATGTCGAACGAAGCATGCAAGCCACCTGGAGCGGTGCATGTGGACAAATGCATGATAATGAACGACATCCTCCCAAATTCCTACATATCCTAAATCGCGAAGCATCGAGGTGATGATCTTGAAATGAGAGTGCTGTGCCAAGGCATCGACACATTCGAACATCACAAGGACAGGTTGGCCGATCGCACACTGCTTGATCGCTTCTACGAATGCCCATCCATCTGGACAGTTGAGTCCACGGCCGAAACCGCCTTTGCTCCAGGATACACATGGCGGGGAGGCTGAGAAAACCAAATTGGAAAGTGGTTGAACACAATGCAGAATGGTAGGATCAGCAACGTCCCCCTGGATGACCCTGTTTAGAGTGATCTCGAAGGCCTGGGTGGCAGTCAAAGGCGCTTGAACCGGTTTGATTCCTAGTTTCATGGACAAAGCTGCAATCACATCACAGTCGAGGTCGACGAAAACCTGGGTGCCAATCGTGGTCTGAGGCAGAATCCATGGAATAGTGAAGGTCGCTTGACTCCACCCTGAAAATGCCCCAGCGAACAAATGCAGGCATTCAATGGCATCATGTTCGACGGCCGAGGTCCTCCTGAGAATCGTGACCGAGTTTTCCCCTTTCCAGGTCCCGTCCTCAAGGCGAGCAAGTGGTCCAGCAAAGATGCAGCACTCTCCGGAAGCAATGCTAAGTGATCTCCTGGCTGAGTCGTGGATCACCAACTTGGTATCAAGGGCAGGCCCATCCATACGAAAACCATGCCCCTTAACAAAGGGGAACAGAGATGCTTCAAAGCAATCATCCACCCGGCTCCAGAAGGTGCCGCAGAGGATTTGGCAATCCTCCCAGTCCAGCGAGGGACCACCATCCAATCCACCAAAGATCGTGCGAGCGCGGGAGCGCCACGGTTCATCCAAAAGATCCAAAATGCAGCTGGAATCCATGGCAAAAGCGCTAGGAAAATCACCACACCTAGGAACCAAGAATGAAGGTGCCTACAGGAGAAGCAGGCTCTTTGGACGCTCTCCCAGGTCGCGAGACCTGCAAAAGAGCCCCGGCCCCCGTGAGGCGTGAGCCCTAGGGTCTTGAACCCAGAAGGCTCGGGAGTCTATTCTGTTCATTTTCTTTGGTCAACCCAGGTAATTAGCCCGTTTGGACGCCACAGGTATATGGGCTTTTGTCTGAGCCATGTTCCCTTGGGGCTTAGAGGCTTAGAGTGCCATTCATGAGGCAATACCTAGAACGCTTTGTGATAGTACACGGGTGAGCGCCTAGGGCCGGTTTCAAACTCTTGTGCCTGGGCTACAAGCCATTCGGCGGGATCGACAGCTCGATCTTCCCAGCAAATAACCGCAATCGTCAGGTGAGTTGCCAGTTGGAGTAAAGACGGAATGCATGGGTTTCTAGGCCTTCTGTGAATGAGTTGAGTAGTTGTGATGTCATAATGGGCTAGATAGATCTTTTCTTCATAGCCACTCCACCTGGGAACTCGAATTTCAGCCTTAGAATGGATGCTCTTTTAATCAATGGTCAGAAACTCAAGGAGGCAACATGAGAGCAGACCATTACATCATATACCTTGGGACTTGGGTCTGTCCTATGGCCATCTATGGCCTCTAAAGTCGGTGAACAATTGTCACTGTTTTTTGGAGAAAGGCCTGGAACCTAACCATCATCGACCGGGCCCTGGTAATGGGATTTTTTTTCTGCCAACAGATACCCAGGGACCCTGCCAATCTCCGATAAGGAGTGCGATAGATGTTGCGTTTGGAGGCATTCCGGGGGAATTTCTGACTCAATGCTTCGACTTGAGGTATGAAGACCAGGAGAACTTCAGCCTTGGCATCAGCTTCGGGCAGGACCGGCCATGACCGGCCACAAAACGTCGAAACATTGTTTCCTGCTCAGACTGGTTTGGTTTCCTCCTTCTTTATGGGAATTCTTTGGGAGATCACCCATGTGAATATTGAAAGCAGATGAAGATGCTTTCTTTTGGCGGCAAAAACGCCCCGGAGTGGCGTCTTTGGACGAATCACTTGTAGCAGTTCCTTTGAGGTTTTTGAAACAGCTCTGGATCAAAGGCTCACCCGCCAAGGACGCATGCTGACCTGTGTGGCAGAGAATTCTGTCCGAATGATCAATCAGTCTTCCGGGAGGAAATGATCCACGCAAAAGATGGCCACCATCTCAGCTTCTGCAGAGATTCGTGATCGACTCGGGGACTGGCTCAGGCTAATTCTGAGAGCCATTGGAGCATTCATACACCAAAAACTCTAGAAAATTCAATCAGAGGCCTCACCTAAGGTTGAGGGTATGAAATTTCTGAGACTTTTCCACTTCGTGCTCATTGGGCTGCCTTCAGGAGCGGCAGTTGCTCTTCGAGAGATCAAGCGGCCAACAGGCAGATCGGAACCACAGCGCATTCGCACAGACCCGGGCAGCGTGGCATGGCCGATGGTTGAGTTGCTTCCTTCAGAGTCCTTCCACTTGAGCCACAGGTCCTTTGTTTGGCAATGACACCTCCCTCATTGATGGGCTCCCAAAGTGTAAAGCATGAAACATGCTCCTCTGCTACAGGGAACACCAAGTCTAAGTCTATGTAGGTTTATCTTGTTTTGAGAACAAACTGTTGAAATCAATTCCGCACTGTTTCTTCCTCTGGAGATTTTTGTGCCCTGTTTCAGCGAGGGAACGAGCTAGCCCGTGGCCGTTCTTGGCCAGGTTCAGTTTGCCATCCCGCAGAAGAACGGGGATGTTTATGCCTTTGGCAAGGCTGGGGACCTCTCGGTCGCGACCGTGGGGACACCCCCCTCTGGATTTCCAGCCATCCTGGAGCGACCATGGGTCCATGTAGACTCTTCATTGATAACACCTCCCATAAAATTGTAAAACCCCTCTTCATACGGTAGGTTTTTTAATCAAGAGTCAAGAGTCTACACTATATTGGCTCCAGCAAGATTGAGTCATCACAGCACGTACGCCTCTCGCAGGCCTTCAACAGCAGTTGGAGGCATGGTGCGCGGAGCCTCAGTGTGACGGGCGAGTAGGCGTTGGACTCAGAATGGATATAATTATTAGGTGTGTTTTTAAAATAGGGAGACCTCACAACCAGTCTACCCAGCCAGGGCCAGGGTCTCCATACCATGAGCGGAGTCCGAGGTGGCACATCCTGGCTCAGGATTTGGGTAGGCTCAGGATTTGGGTAGGCTTTGTGAACAGCAACTTCCCATGGAGCGTGGGATAGAATGGGAGCTCATTGGATGGGACCTCCGCTTCCCATGCTTCCCTGCCACGCCGCCATCCTCGCGAATCTGATCCTCAAGCAGAAATGGGTCATTTCGGATCTCAAGCTTGCAGTTCGTAGAAACAAGTCCACATGTAGACACACACCTGTCATTGTTCCTTAGAAAACGGTGCTGTGAACAAGAACGATTCTCTCCCTCTCCCCAGAGTCGCAGCTCTGTCCGGTCCAGTCGACCCGACGAAACCGCCCGCCGACACGTCCCCCTCCGGTCGCCCCCCAGGTGCCGCCGCAGCGCCGCCCCGGCGGCGCAGAGGAGCCGAACCTGACGGTGCAGCTCTGGGGCCAGCGAGGCCGGGAGCACGGCGGAGGACGGTGGCGAGTTTGGGCAAGTTCGGTTGGGGGGAGGAGAGGCGGTTGGGAGAAGAACGAAAAGAAGAAACGAGATGAAATGGTTCAGAGAGAAAAACATGGACATATATGCCTGCTATAGTGAGTGGTTCTGTTTGGGTTGTTTTGGCCATTGCTCCGCTAACTGAGGGTCTTAGCCCACTAGATACCAGGTCTCTTTTTGGGAACGCGCAATGAAACGACTGGGGGCTGTGGGTAGATGCCGGACGGATCCAGCTACGGCAGCTGGATGGGGGCTAGCTACGACAAGTACTGGGCTAGAGGAATTGCAATGGACATATGATACCCTAGAAAGTCACTAGAAGTCCAGATCGACGGTTTTTGGCGCACACCAAGTCACCAAAGTAAAGGACATTCCTGAAATTCAGTTCACCTAAAGACCATTTTAAGCACAGTCTTGGACTTCCAGGGATATTTACTTAGTTGACTATAAGCCATTTTCTCGGTAGATCGGTTTCGAGTACCACACATGGGTCAAGCTGTGCTACCCTTGTGCGTGGTTTGATCCAACACCACCAGACACCCATGTAAGACATATATGTTACAATACAGATGCAGGATGTGTTTTTGGGGAAACGCCTGATGTGGACACCTGGGACACCCCTGAGGGACGACACCACCCTGAAAAAACGCCTAAGAACTCCGAAACGAAAAAAACAGCCCTGGATCGAAGTGCAAGACGGAGGAACATCCGGTCTCCGGGGAGCTCGGCCAGGGGTTCAGGTGAAGCTCCCCGTGTCCTTGTCAGGCCCAACGGGGGGGGGGGGCCGGAGCCACCGTGGCACCAGTGGAGGTCGTCCAGCCGGGTGCTGGTGAATTCACATGAAGGCTTTGGAAGGGGCGGTTCTGAGCTCAAGCTGCAGAGATGCTACAGGTTCGCATAAGAAGAGCTGTTCAAAGAAGAGGAAAGGACTTGACTTACGGTTCCTGTTCATCGGCGAATCGGCTGGTGCTCAAGTCCGGAGTGGTGGTTTTGTGACACGTGGCACGCACGTGGCTTGAAGAGCCACTTGAAGAGCCACTTTTTCAGCTGGTCTGTGCGATGCATCTGGGTCTGGGTGTGTAAATACTTAATAGGGAGACCCCCTGCCCCCCTGGCCCATGAGTTTTGAGATGTTTTGCGTCTATTTCCCGAACCTTCCGTGCGGGAACGAATGCCTGACTCTCCAGGGGTTGCTGAGGTCAGCTACACACGGTGTGTTGTCCCATATATCCCAGATGCCTGGAATTGGCTCGCAGAGCAGTTCGAGACTGAAGGCCAGGCTGGCCTCGCGAGGTGATGCTCGGTGCTCGAAGTGACTGGTGACGTCTGTCCCTCCCGCCGTGGAAATGGACTTTTCAGACTTCAAGCCATATGATTTTTGCAAAACGTCTGGACTCTGACTTCCTCTCCAAAGGATTTTTTTGGGGGGTCTTGGAATGGAAGCAGCCCAAACAATCAGACATTGTCAGGAGCACGAGTTTTTTCATGACCAAAGCCTTGCTGCATTATCCTTGTAATTGTATGGGCGAAGCAATGAGAATACGTTGTTTTCACACTCTCTGCCGGCCTATGAGAAGGTTCTTTTTGCCACGGCGAAAGCACCAAATCATTGCAGCCGAAGTTTGCTTCAAAGATCCACACGGCGCCTCCGTGTGCCATGACGAGACGTCTGGTTACGCCGCTTCCACCTCCGTCCCGCCGCGGTTTCCACCGTCGGTGCATCCGATTTCAGCTGGTGCAGCACGGTGCAGCAGTTCTTGGTGCGTCCGATGGGTCAGATCCGGGCAAGACCTAAGATCGCCATAGGTCTCCGTGGCCATTTGGTCGCCTGTCCAAGTCCTTTGGATAAGCTGGCTTCCTGTATTTGGATTCATGTCCATTGGAATGGCTAAGCTGACATCTCCCGCTGGACCAGGGACAATGCTGTTGAATGCGTTCTTTGTCTGCAGCTGTTCCACGCTGTGCAAGACCCTGAAACATGCAGATTCCTGCTACAAACTCGAGTTTCGGGAGCAGTGCAAAGACCCTTCAACCTGCACATCTGGGAAAGACCCAGGCCAAAAAAAGACAAAAAACGGACCACTGAATTTTGAAGTCCAATCTTCCTCCCTTTGACCAGGTCTCAAAGGGTCTCCCTACTTCAATATCAATATACATCCATATCGTCATGTAGAGCCAATACTTCCCCTCTTGAGAAGTCCCACGTCGTCCAGCCAACCTGGTCAGGGTCCTTCTCCGAGATTGTCTTCCAAGATCCTTCCTCTGCATCTGAACCGCGCCAGTGTGAGGCCTGGGGCTGTGGGGCGTAGCATCAAACCGGGCCTCAGGAGTTGGAGGAGTTCGTGTGCTTTGGATGTGAGGAAGGTGTCAGGCCTTGATGGCTCATGTACCACATGTGGATGTTGGCTCATGGAAACAACCAACATGTTGGCAGATTTTGGGTGCCAAAGCTGCACACTGGATGCTCGATGGCTGGCTTTTCCGCGAACGTTACGCAAGCTGATGCAAGTGGGATCACATCTATAAGGCCTCAAGGTCTGGATGTTTGGCTTGGCATCCGGGCTCATCTTTTAAACCACCCACCGTCGGAACCCCTGAAAACACGGCGCCGCCTCATGGCGCCATGCCAGACGAAGGGGAATGAAACACCATCGCGACGGACCCGTCGGTTTTCCCCCAGATTTGCGGCGGGATTGAGTAATGAATTTTTCTCACGATCTTCTTTTTCTTACGTGAGAAAGATTCATTACTCAATCCATGGCCAGGTACTAGTTTTGCTGCTTCTCGGTCAGATTCTCTGAGAACCTTGCCATCGCGATCGGGATGCCGATGATAGGTGGACTCGATGCCGCGAGGTCTGTCGTCGCATGGCCGAGCCCGGTGGTGGGGAGCCCCGTGGTGGGGACGGCATGATGGATGGAGGCCTTTTAAAGAGACTTAATAAAGGGACTTAAAGGAAGAGGTTGTATAAGAGGTTCTTCTAAGAAGTGGGCGGGTGTTCCACATGGTTCCATATCTGTGCTGGAGGGCAAAGTCGAGACAAGTCGAGGGTCAGCAACAAATTTGCCCAAGACAGTCTGTCCGTCGTATTTTTTCCCAACGCTTCGGACCGGGCTTGAGATCATGATCTTGGGACCCCCCGATGTCTCACCCAAAACTTCACCATCACCAGCTTCGTCTAGACGCTTCGTCAGCCTTGTAGTCCGGCCAGGTGGGCGGACCGACCTGGATGGCCATTGGAGTTGTCAGAAGTGCGTGTTGCGCTGGGAGTTGCTGGGCTGGCGGCCGTGTGCTGCCAAGATGCCTGGGGAGGTCACGGATGGCGTGACCCTGAGGAGACGAGACATGGGTGTGAGCTGGGTGGATGGGTGGAGCGGAAGTTGAAGGGCCAAGTGTGGTGAGAAGCTACCTAGCAACCACGCATTGCAACGCAGCACCAGAAGCGAACCTAAGACAACCGAACTAAAAGCCAAGCAAGAACAAGCTGTCGAACCATCCAAACATCTCCAACCCATCCACCTTACCTGGTCTCTGCGAGTCTCTGCTTTTCTTCTCCCGCCAAAACGGAGGGGCCCAGGGGTCCACCCTCGCGGTCGAGGAGAGCCCAAGTGGCGCTGGCCATCCTGGTGGGCCATCGGACCACCTTGCGCAGAAGGGCCCTCTTCCCAGATGGATGGCCGGGGGACCTTACGACGTGGACGTCCCCGGGGACGAGGCGACGCCGTGGGTCGAGGGGTTCGGGTGGGGGTCCTATCACTGGATGTGGGGGTCTTGAAATCGATGGTATACTGTAGACCGAGGTAGACCGTGAGAAATGATGCTGACCTTGGAAGCAACACCTAGGAGCCCTGGTCATCGGCTGAGCTTTGCAATGCTTTGCATGCTCGTAGTGACGTTGAAGTGCCTTTGGGTGGTTTGAAGTTGGAGTGAAGGGCCCAAGATGAAACAGGCTTGGGCATTCTCATTTAGAGGCACAAGTCTGGAGTCTTTCAAAACGACCGCGGACCGCATCGATTCCCCATCTTTTGCCAACCAAAGCGTTGGCTTTGGTCCATCCGCCAACCCGCCTGCCCCCGTCAGAATGGCCACGCGCACGAATGAATTCCGATGAACGCTGGGCTGCTGGGCCAAGGTACGCTCTCCATGTGGGGCCGCTGGGCGAGTCGGAGGCCTCCGACGACTCGGTTTTCGAGTGGCCGGAGGCGCCTGAAGAGAAGAACCTGCCGCACCAAGCAGTGGCTCAGCGAGCAGCTGAGTGAAGAGTTGCCACGTGAACAAACGACTTTTGCACCTGACTACACCTTTGCTTCTACAACTTTAGTGGGTGCTTGTCTAGGTAGCCAAGCGAATGTAGTCGTACAGTACAGTAGAGGGCCACGTGGAAATGAACGACGAAGAACGAAACGCTGCAGGAGCAAGAAGATGAACAGGAATTTGCATGAATGAACGATGTTTTGGTTTTTGTAAAGAAAACGATGCATGTTTAGCTTTTTCTGTGTGTTTCGCAAAACAACGATCTCCGATGCGATCCAAAATCACGATGTGAGCAGCGCATTCGACATGCCCCGATCTCCGCAGAGGGGTCACATTTCGTAAGCCACCCTGTTGCCATAAGGGAACTACGAAAGAATACCAAAGTTGTATGCCTTTTGTTGAAGTTTTTTACATGTGTATCTAAACAGACGTGTATTTCTACACCAGGATTTATACAGTACACCTGTACACCTGTATCTATACAGTTCTACCTATATTTCTACACCATATCTAGACACCTTCATGCACTGTATCCATTCACCTTCACACCTTCATGCAGTTGTGCTTGTCGACGTGTAAGCTTTTGTTCGAACCGGCAAGGTTGTATCGGTGCACCGTGATGCTGGCGGGGTTATCATGATACCCATGGGTTCAGGGATCCGAACCTGCTGCATGTTGGTTCGGTCCAAGACCCAAAAAGTTGTGAGGGTCAAAACTCTAGGGAGGGTCGATTGAGCCTTTGGGGTGGCAATGATGAGGACTTGATGATGTTGATGGTGATATGATATGGTGATGTTGAATGATGCTGCTGCTGCTGCTGCTGCTGCTGCTGCAGCAATAATGCTTATGTCTGTGACAGTCTATGATGACGGCCAGGCAGATTTTGTTGTTCTGGACTATCACAAGATGACAATGATGTTGGTTTGACGATGAGAAGGAGAAGGAAGGGAAGATAGAGTTGTTTTCGCAGGATCCGGGAATACAGATGAACACAATGCGTGCATTTGCAGCTGGGGCGGGTCTATGCTGGCGTAACTTTTTCTGGAACATCCTCCTTTGATCCCTGAATTTTGCTGACCCCTTCCTCGCAGATAAAGACTCAGATGCCCTAGTCCATGGCGCCAGCTCTCCAACGCCCGCGTTCCAGCTCCGTTGCGGCTCCGTTGGCGAAGTTCATAGAGGGTAACGCGTTAGGTGTCAAGCTATATCTCTTCCCGAAAAAAACGGCATCAACGTGTCAAAACGATGCGTCCTTCCAATCCTGAGGTGGTGGGTCTGCTCTGCCTGCAGCGGGAGTCCGCCCGTGTGGCGATCAGCGGCGACTGGAGGGGTCCGGAGCAGAGGTACAAGATCACGAAGACCGTGCCCTTGAAGGCCGTGCCAAAGCGGGGGGGTAGCCGGGAGCGGAAACGGAAGAGGTCGGAGCGGTCGGAAGAGCGGAAGGAGGAGGAGGTCCGTGGATGAAAAGCACAGCGGTTGCCAGCCGAAAACGTGTCGAGTTCGCTTCGTGTTCGCTTGCCCAAGTGGATCCTCAGTATTCGCGTATACTGGTAGACGCCCCCAAAGATTCCTGTGAGATTATGTATGTTATTCATAGTTGCCACAGCATATTTTCTACCCAGTGTTGGCACAACGGCGTTCACAGTGGAAGCTTGTGAAAAAGGAACAGGCTCCGGACTGTGATAGCGTGAAGACGCCTGTGTCCTCAGAGATGGTTCTTTGATTTTGTCCTAAATTAAAGCACGTGGCCAAAGACGCCAGAAATGAACGGATACCTGGCGACTTGCAGCCTGAGGAGAGCATGTTCCGTCCAAATTGCGGAAGAACGGTACTTTTTCGGGATGAAGGCTAGAGTCTCTCGACGCACCAGCAGGAAGAATGGTACTGGTAGAACAAAGATGACCCAACGCAGACTTCTCCAAGGCCGAGGGGTTGCGACGCTTGGACAGGTGCATGGCGACTGGAGCATTGGTGAACACCACTGGTGAAGCCATGAAAGATGACACCGCTTTGTTGTGCAAGGAAGGGAGCAGACGTGGCGCCTTAGGAGTAGGCGGGCAAGGTAGTGCTGTTGCTGTGAACTGACACAGGAGTTTGTCGAACGGTTCGCAGAAGGTTTTTGGGAACGCAGAACCGTTGGTAGAACAGTTTAGCCACAGAAAGAACCGTTTCTATCATGGAACGGGACGACTTCATGCCCGCACCGTTGCTATGATTCCGCCCTGAAAGAGTTCAATTCGAGGCCGGGCAACATTGCGGTTGGGGCCATTTTGGATCACGTGAGCAGTGGCAAGAGGATTGTGCTAACTAGGCGCTGAGCTGAACATTCTGTACAGTCAGGTGTGACCTGTCCCTTCCTTCACTCAGCTGTTTTGGTCGACATTTCGAGTCCCTTTCTCAAGTCTGTCCAATGCGCAGTGCATCGGTGCGGGTTCGCTTGCGAGCTGTGGTCTTCATCGGATTGAACAGGGCGCCCGGAGAGCGTGGAAGCAGAGGCTGACAGCGCGCCTGACAGCTGAGGCGGTTAGAAGCAGTGATTAGTTCGCAGAGAGTTCGCAGGCAAGCTGCCCATCTTGCCTCCTGTTGAACCATCTCGGATTCTGTGCAGGGCGGAGGTCCTTCACCTCGCCCTCCAGGCCCTTTCCAGGCACCCTAAGCCTGCCACATCTCCAGTCCCAAAAACTGCTGCAGAACCGAACCTGCCAGGACTGTTTGCCGTGCCACGGACCCGGGCGGCCGGAGGAGCCCTGGCGCTTGGGTGCGGTGGTGCGACGTAGAGTGCTGGAGCTCGCGGCGGACATGAAGGTCTTGGAGTGCCTCATGTTGCAGGGAGGGTCGAACTGGGCTGGGGCTGATGGGAGGGGTCAGGCAAAACCTTCTAATTAGTGCTCTTTTTGTATGCCCCGCTGCATGTTTGGCAGCGAGTGCCTCGAAACTTCAAAAGGGGTGGGAGGTAGGTCGTCCAATTTGTTGTAGTTCGTAGTCTACTCAGGAGGTGGGCAGTGAGTTTAAGTGAGCTGGGGTGCAAGCGGCCGGGCAAGCCAGAAATCTCGACAAACCGACCTTTTGGGTGACTATGTAGTACTGAGTATACCCTTTTTGGAGCACCGCACAATACACGGTTCTTCCTTTCAAGATCGATCTCTGGGTTTCTTTTTTCCAAGATACCGAAAGCACCTGCATTTTGTTTTAAAGAGCGGCTAACCGCTTCAACTGTCTAATTATCGTCATCGTCGTCGTCGTCGTCCTCCTCCTCCTCCTCCTGATCCTCCTCCTCCTCCTCCTCATCATCATCATCATCATCATGATGTGCACGTCGGATGCGCGAAACTGTAGCAATAGCAATAGTATAGTAATGCGAATCGTTTTTGACCTGGGACGACCCCCTGCGGAGATCGCACGTGTCGAGTTGCCAAGTTGTGCAACTGTCGTCGAAAAAGAAAGTGGAAATGGCCAGAGGGTGTATCTGTCGTCGAACATGAAGGTGGAAGTGGGCAAAAGGTCTAGCTGTGGTGGTCGAGAATGAAGGGTGGAAGCGGCCAAAGTGTGTATCTGTGGTTGTGAAACATGAAGGTGAGGCTTAGTTGCCAAAATGTGTGTCTGTCGAAAATGAAGGTAGTGGCCAAAGTGTGCACTTGTTGTCGAAAACCAGAGTGGACAAGTTGCCAAGGTGTGCACCAAAGTGTGCAACTGTCATCAAAAATCACGGTCGAAGTTGCCAACGTGTCCCACAAACGTGGAAAATCTACTGGAGGAAGTAGCTTCTGGGAGCCTGGCTACCGGCTCGAAACTGGCAACTTTGTAGTACACACGCAGTACGGGAAGCAGCTTCTGGGAGCTCTGGGGCCCATACGGGCAACTTTGAGCCAGAGCTTGAAACCCATCCAATCCGCATGCTCCCCAAGCCTTTGGATAAAATTTCATCCCAGTCTTTTGGTGATAGGCTCTCCCACTACCTCCCTATTTTTTCGGTCAAGCCTCCACCATCTTCCTGCACCAACGCCGCTAAAACAAAAAAACACCGTCAACAGCGCTTGATGTGGCGCCACCCCTGAGGAATCCTCATGTGGAACCCGATGCAACGTCGCTGGAGCTGGTCAACACCTGGGAGACGAAGTGGTTGGGACCCCCAGCAGTTCTTCGTTGTCGTCCGTGCGCTTTTGAGATCTGGAGGGAGCTCCAAAAAAGGGGCCGCACCAGTGCGAGCGTGTGCGTGCGAGCAGGAGCCTTCTTCCTGGCAGCGACCAGCGTCTGGTGGTTTCGAAGTCTGTGGATTCACTGAGGTCTTGGAACTGGTGGAGTGGGGATGATTGGACCACCGGAGGCGTGCAAGGAGCCGAGGAGGTGGTGGCCGGTGAAGCTACCTGCATCAAGGGACCTTTCTCGCTACGGCTGCTACTGCTGCCGCCGCTGCTGCTGCTGCTGCTGCTTCTGTTTGTGATTGTGTATCCAGGACTCTATAGTTTTTTTTTGTTTGAGGTTGGTGAAATCTGAAGATCCCCCGACACCGGCCTAAGGACCGCTGTTTGGATCGTACAAGGGCATGGGCAGATCTCTAGGGTGTGAGAGAAATCGAGGTAGGCTGGGCTCAGCAATCGGTGCTTGGAGGGTTTTGGCAAAGACAGAGATCCTTTGCTTCGGAGATATCCCTGACTTGGTGCGGCAAGAGTTTTGAGCCAGCGGGTTGTGCAGGCTCCCAAAGTCAGAAGTGGCTGTGTGGCTGTGTGGTTCCAAATTTAGTATCCCAAACCTTGGAGGTGACGGGAAGCATGACTATCGTCCACGGTATCCTATGATTTCAAGACATTATTTACCTTCGCAAAGACGCTCAGTTTCAAGTTATTGCTTGTATGGCCCATTGTTTCGACCATCTGGTTGAAGAGTTCATTCTTCACTTGATTTCATTTGGATCCCCAACTGGATGGCGCGTTTCCAATGGTGCAACCTTGGCATGCAAGGTTGGGGCTCTTGGCATTGGAAGAACGAGAGCTGGGAGGACGCTGCCCTGCGGAACTGGTAGAAGCAGGGGTGTGCTAGCAGGGGCCTGCTGGCAGGGGCCTGCTAGCAGGGTTTGTGACGGTCTAAGCGTTGCGCAGTTGGTTCCCATTGTATTCTTGGTTGGTTCGTTGTTGGCAGGTGAATGTTGGATGGCTTCTGCCCGTGCCAGGGAAACCAGTTGAGCACAGCAAAGCACAGCAGCTCTCGCCGCCGCTGTGGGTTCAAAGTCGCCCAGAAAGCCGCTCGCCGAGATCAACTCGCTCAGGCAGAGTCGACCGAAACACCAGGGTCAAAGCGGGCCATGCACATGCCCCTTTGGCGGTGAAGGACTGATTTGGGAACACCTAGGCTTGTTACTGGAGAATCTTGAACTGTCTGGGCATCTCTTTGGGGCCAAAACCTAAGAAGCGGACCACCATGGTGGAGAGAGAAGATTGCGGTTCATTTGCAGTTTGTTTTATTCCGTGAGAGATCTGGGATTCAAGCTCCAAGTCTTGGCAGGGGTTGGATGTGGTCTGTTCTTTGGCGGGTCTACTCTCCTTATCTGCCATGGTGCAGTCAGTTGGATGCTTCCAATGGCCGATTCTGTGCCGCCCCACCTTTTCCGAAGACGGCTTCTGTTCGCCCACCTGGCTTCCAAAGGGATCAAAAAACACAAAGAAAACTGCCCGGGTCGAAAAGCCCTGCTCCCTTCCTCCCTTCTCCAGACACGGAAGCATGGGTCGTCAAAGCGGACGCTTGGTGGTGCTCCTGGGAGCTGTGGCTCTCCTGAGGTACGCAGTGGGTACCGGGGGTGAACCAGCCGCGACGTTTCGCCCAACAACTGCGGTGCGGGTTGGAAGAAGCCTCCGGGCTGGAGCAAAGAAAGGGGGAATGAACCGGATGTTGATGGGGATCTGATTCTTCGACGTTTTTGTGGGGAGATGAAGTCAAACATGTCATTTTTAAGTATAGGATTCAAGATTCGTGCAGCGTGCAGGGGCAACAGACAGGAGCATGTTCAAGGTTCGAGATGTTAGATTCCTCAGTCTTAGTTGTCGGGTGTTTGTCTGGAAGTGACATACCAATCAGTGCTCTGGTCATTTGTGTCATCTGTGCCGCCCCATCGATTCGTTTTGGGAAGTCAACAAGGGGCCAACGGGACCTCCATCAGGTCCTTTTGCTGTTCCGAAGATGTGGGGGGTTTTCATGGGGGACGAAACTCGTCTCGGCAAAAGAGATCTGAGAAGTGACCAACGTGAACTATATAGACAGCCAAGTAGATAGACGTTCGGGTCATCCCACGTAGAACTGAGCCGAGGAGAACTGTCTGTGTCTATTGGAAACCGTGCCACGGTCATCCCTTTGGGGGACCACCAAGAACCGATTGAATGCCTACCGGTGCCAACCGGACCGGGTGCAGATCTGGTGACTTCTGCTGGTTCACGGTCTCGGTTGTGTCCCATGGCCGTACATAAGAGTCGACAAAAGATTAGCAGCATTTCTTGAGAAAGGCCTTTTTGCTACAAATAGTAATAATTATAATCATCATCATCATCATCATCATCATCATCATCAGAATGGGATATACCATATACCGGATATACCCAAGTCTCACGTCACTCACGTTCCATGTTCGTCTTCGTCTTCGGTCAGTCCTTGGTGTTCCTTCGGCGAGTTTTGGCAGGTCCTTCTTCGGCACATCTGAGTCCTTCGTTGGCACCGCCAGCCCCAATGCAGGCGCGGTTGATGCAGAGGCTGCAAAGGCCCACAAAGAGAGAGAAAGAGAGAGAGAGGGAAAGCCCACGACAAGTATAGCGAAGCTACAAAAACAGGACTTGTTGTTTAAAATAACAAGAACGCACAACACGTTGTAAGTGTTCAGGTGGCCACGAGTGAATTGCACATCGCCTTTGTGTGCTTCGTCCTAGGGAGTGCAGGCACTGCACCAAGTACTTCTTTCTCTCCTAGAGCTGAGAAGGCACTTTCTTTACTCACTTTGATGCTAACCTATCAGCCAGAAGTATCATGCCACTGTATTTCAGAGTTCGGAAACAGTGGTGACAGATGTCAAGCAATAAGACCCTTCCAACTCTGCACCGTGTCTAACAGGGCCCTCCTTATCTTAATTTACTTGAGAAGGCATTCCTTGGACGTGTCAAGACGCAAAGCTGAGTAGAAATGGGTCGCTGGACGACTGGACGACCAAAGATCTCCAAAGGGCTTTTCAATGGACCAGGCACCCCTCTTCCAAGAGGCCTTCTGCAACTTGGCCCAGTGATAGCCATCCGCCTTCCGCCACCGAGGCCCCCAGTGCCGCATCAGCATTGCACGCCAGGCCGGATGGTTGGCAAGTGGTGCCTCTGAGCGGCAAAGCTCTGCTTTCCCTGGGCGGTACACCCCCTAAAGGCCCTGGCTGAAAGTACACGTTCCATTGCTAGACGGGCCTGGCTGGGTGTGTGTGCATGGGTGTGCCTTGACGGGCCCCCGGTCCCTGGAGTCGTCGCCCTTGGCGGTCGCCCTCCAGGCCAAGGAAGGGGATTCACTGCCCTCCGTGGAGATCGACGAGGGCAAGCCCGGGGCGCACAGGGCGCTGCCTCCGGGCCAACCGGTGGCCGCACAGTAGGGTGGGCCCACAAGGGGGTCGGAGGCTTTGTTTGGTTTGGAGCTCGAGGGATCCAAGGAGGTGCCATTCCATGGCCTACCCTCCCTCCCAACAAAGCTGGAAGTGGATGGCACCACCTGTTGGTGGAGAAAAACGGGTCTTCCTTTCGGGGCCGATGGTCCATGTTAGTTCCAGGGAGGCCGTCCACGTGCTCTTCTCGGTGTGAAGCTGAAGTGATGCAAGCGGGGTCATGTAGATCTGCTAATATTTAGTTATATACACTGTTAGTTTTCCAATGAATGAATCCCCACTTCATGAGAATAGATCTGTTTTCCTTGCTGGGCCTCCGCTCCGCTCCGCGGACCGAGGCCCGGTGAGGCGGTGAACGTCGCCGAGCTCTTCAAAGGCGGATCCGTGTCCGTGGTGATGTCGGTCCGTGTCTGGTCGCGCGGTCCGGGGTGGGTTTTCGGCCGCGACGACGAGGTCGAAGAGGTCGAAGAGGTCGAAGAGGCCTTTACAAGGACTCATGGTAGGAAGGGAAGTTCAAACAGGTAGACCTCATGGATGAATCAAGATGTGGCCATGGAACCCATGATGTGGCCTGAAGAAAGCAACCGGAAAGTAGGAAGGGAGCGAAGGGGGGCACCCCCAAGTGACCTGTCAAATTGAAAGTTGTTCTTTGGGTGGAACTTGTAACTGTTTGTTTGGAGGTTTCCCGTGTGGCTAAGGTGAGTTGGGATGCATCAGCAGAATCTACTTGAAGTGTTCAGTTTGGTGTGAAAGGGAGTCGGTTGCTCTTCCAAAAAGACACCACCCAGAGCTGAGCTCATGTGCCAGAAGAAAGGCCTTGCCGGGGCCAGGACAATCAGCCTTGCACGAATCTCACATGATTGACGAACGATGAGTTCAGCCAACGCATCAGACGACGACATGTGGAACGACCAGTTTACATCACCATGTCTTCGGTGGGAGACAGAGAGGTTTGAGTCCGGTGCACGTGTCACTTCACTCCATTTCGGTGGGTTTAAGGGCGGCAACCGATGATGTCACTGTAGAAATTAGAATGTGTTGATAGACAGGTCCCTGGGATATCGAAGTCCCTGAGATATGTTTGGAGACTCAACACCAAACACACCTTAGAGATCCGTGAGCCTGAACGATGCTTGTGATCCTTCTCCAATGCTGGGGTTGGTTTGCCTGCTCGAGCAGGTGGCCAGGACTTGTCCTGGCCAGGACTTATGCCACTCGCTCGGGTGTTCCGACGGTCTGACTGGGTGCCACTGACAGTCCCTCCAACTCATCATCGACCGGTACGAGGGATTGACCCAAACAACCTACCAGACCAGAGTGAGCGAGCACTCAAACAACTTGATGCATTGTCATTTTCCCATTGTTTTGTTTGGCGTGCTAAGGACAACCATGGACAACCACCAAACATCTCGTTTGGACTGCCCACTGCAATGGCCTTTTGCTAGGCAAAAAGGGCGTGCTCTTTGCGGTGCCGGGTGCCTTCACGCGATCCTGGCGAGTCTTGGTGAATTGGGATGGACTCAGCCCGGAATCAGCTCGCTGACCCTTCCACATGGCGCCTCCTGATCGAAACCCAGACATGGGTGCGGGGGGCGGGCGGCGCGTCCAGCAGCACGAGCGCAAGAAGTGAGCGATAACTTGGGTTAGGGTGTGTCCCATGGCCCATTACTCGAAATCCCTGCAATCTAACCATCATCATCCACTGTGGCATACTGGTCTATAATGGGATGCCCAAGCTCACTCTGATTAAGGTCCAAACGGATAGCTGACCCTTCAAGTAGGTGGTGGCTGAGCTCTATCAATTTTGGATGTTGCAAAGAGAATTTGAATCCTCGCATGCTGTTTTTGCACTGTGGCCTGCTTTGAGTTCGCAGATAAATGACAAATGACTCGCAAAAGGGACCCACCCAGTTGATTTTATTGGGTGTTCAGTGTTCACCTAATATTGACAAGGTTGTGACAGGGTTTTCCATCCCGACACCGGTGGAAACCGTTAACTCTCCAAGAATAGACCAGGTGGACAAACTGCGGAACATTGCAATTTTTTTTCATCCCCAGATGGGCAGTGATCCCTGAAACTGGATCAGTCATGATCGCTGGAACTGGATCTCGCACACGTGTGCAAAAGAACGTCGGCTTCCATGGAAAACCAGAACTCCTGTTTTCGCTCATACCCCACCTGGTAGTCATGATCCACCACGCCTGAGGGGGTCAAGGAGTCATGACTGGACTTGGCGCAGTCTTCCCAGCGACCAAGAAGGTCCACCTCTCCAAACGTCCACTTCCGCCGCCCGTTGCCGTGGACGCCCTGTTGCCAGGCCCACCTGCTCCGAGAAGCACTTGCAGGGGGGCTCAGGGTTCTCAAAAGATCCACCTGTTTGAACCCCCTGGAAGAAGGAAACTAGACCACAATCCATGGGTGGGCGGGAACCTCCCAATGCCAACCCCACCTTCTCCGGAACCCATCTGCCAAACTCCAATTCTCGGACGGCATCTCTGCCGAAAAGAGTTTAGAGATCCAACTCTCAGGCGGTGCTATCCTTCCCTGTGGATCAGTTGGTCTATTGCCTGCACCCCTAGGCCCGGCTACATCGAGCAGGCGGAGGAGCTCAAGGCTGCAGGCGCCGAGGCGTGGCATCACGTGGCGAAGTTCCTTTTCTCAGTTCGAACCGAGGCGAAACATGCCCTCCGGTGGTGTACCACCGGTCTGTGGTGCCTGGCACCGACCCCTCTACTGTTCCCAAGTATGGACTATCATGGGTCGACCTCTTCCGAACGTCGACCTCTTCGGCTGAACGTCAGCCACTCTCCGCGCCGATCTCCTGGCCCACCCGAGAGCATCCACACAGACCCCACCGGGTGCTCCAGCGGATGTGGAGAGCGTCTCTGATCCAGACATTGGTGGATCCTGGCGCGGAAATCGATCGATCGTGTGGATGGGGCGGACATTGAACACCACAGCCCCGTGGAGGGGGGAGGTTTGGTTCTCGAATGGGGGTTGAAGAGCGTACGTGTGTTGTCACTTGTTTCGATATGTTTCAAAAGCACCAGATTATTTCCAGATGTGAAAATTGCCCTGTTGGAAAGACTGTGCAATGTTTTTTTTTGAGGTCTTTTTAGAAAGCAGCAGACCATGGCCAGCAGAGGCATCTTCCTCATGGAAACCGGCTTTTTCGCTCGAGAAGCTTCGATGTTTGTTGAGCGGTTGGTCGAGTCCCGTCTCACACCCTGGCAGGTGGTGGCCTGTGTCTCCGTGAACGACGCCTTTGTGATGAAAGCCTGGGGTGAGCAGCAAAAGGCAGGGCGACTCCTAAGATGAACTCCACCCCTACCCGGCCCTACCCTACCTCCCATGCGAGTCGGTTGAAGAGGAGTCAACACCGTCAACACGACTCGGCCTGGGGGGTGCAGTCGCCTCTGCACCCCCTCTGGCCTCGGTGGCCGAGCCACGCCTCCTCCATCAGGGCGTGTATGAACACCTCCCAATGCCCTGGGTTCGGTTCCCATATGAAGCCACAGTCAAAATCCGAGCGACTAGGTTTTATATAAAATTGATCATTTTGGGTGGGATCTTGCAGAATCTTGCACATTCCTTGGAAAACGAAGCCGGAAAACCAACAACGAAGCCTCTTGGTGGGATGTTTGCATGTGTATCCTCTTGGAGTGCATGAAATGTGGTGTCTCCAAACGAAGCCAAAACGAAGCCCCAAACGAAGCCAAAATCCACGAAAAGGTGTCCTTTGCAGAGACTCTGCCCCAAATGCCCCGTACTGTAAGAAGTTCCTTTGCTGTACTGGTAGGTTTCTAAAGAAGTTCCTTTGCTGTACTTCACATTGTAAAGGTCTAGTAGTAATATAACTCACCTGGTGAACTAACAGAGCACAGTAGCCTAACTAGTGCAATTCCTTGAAAAACGAAGCTGGAAACAAAAAACGAAGCCTCAGTAGAAACGATCATTTTTTAACTTTCATTTTGTCTCCGATCTAAGTGGTGACGTTTCTGGGACATGGAGAACGCCGGTCACCGATGGATTCTGGACCCTCCAAGACTCCAAAATGGACCTTCTTTTCTGTCTTTGCAAGGACGTGGAACATGGCTCCCGTGGCAAGGAACACGGATCTTTGATGGGCCAATGGGCAATGTTCACTTCCAGTGAGTCATAGTTATATACATGACAGATCATGAGATGCAGACTCACTACTTCACCACACACTTGAAAGTGGACTCCACAAATGAATGCTTGAGAGATACCCTGTCCCCTCATGAGCATCCGGAATGGGGATGTACCGTCCTTGCACCCCAGGTTGCAATGCTCAGCTTTGAGTGTAGAAGGTGGACATCTGCAAGGGGGACCTTGAACAATCCAATTGAATTGGTCCACGGACAGGCATTGAGCTGATGTCCAACAAAAAATTCCGTTTAGAGGCCGAACTTGCTTTCTTTCTTTTCACGGTGACGAAGACGAACCGCCAGCAGATGTGCAAACGAGTCGTGCCCAAACGGCGTCCCGCGCTCAACGGCGAGGCCGAGGGCAAGGTGCGCATGTTGGCGGATGCCAAGTGCGAGCTCACCAAGGTTGGGCCAAGGGACGAACGCCTGGGCCAGGTGGGCTTGGCCGGACTCCCTGGGCCAAGGAGACGTAGATGCTTCGCTGAACATTTTTTCCATCAGATGGTTGTGGGTCAAGCGGATTGGATTGGTTCCCCGGTTGGGACCATGTCTGGTAGTCCATTCTGTTCATTGTCAACCAAGGTCCGGTTTTGACTCGTAGCCATACGATGCCATGGACATATTAAACACATCCGTTTGTAATCCTTTTTAAGGCTCGGTTGATCGAGCCACATTCATATGTTATTGATCTATTTATGGTTCGGTTGACTTTTGGTCGACAAATTCCAGCTTTCCGTTGGTTTTTGTTTTTGCCGCGATGTTTTAGGTCTATTTTCAACATTTTGCAAGAAGGAACCGATAGAGGAGCACCCTCGTTTTGCCACACACCAAGTGAATGAAGAACCAATGATGTGAGGCTTCATGAGGCTTCAGCTGCACACTTCTTTGACACTGACCTGTTGCCCACATGTACTGGTGTCGAAAGTCTGTTGAATTGGAACCCAAACAAATGCCCCATGTACTTCCATGTAGTTTTCTCTCGTGCCGGATGTGTACCACCAACGTACCCAACACAGTTCCACACCTTGGACTGAGCCCCGAAAAAGGGAACCATGCAAACGAGAGTTCAGACATGCATTGGCGTTGGCTCGATTAGTTAACGTTAGTACGAGTGCAACTTAAGCAAATATATATATATATATATACGACTCTATTTTGCCGCAGTGAAGTAGAGGAATATGGCAATCGAAAGACCATTTTGAAAATAGTCTTGCACTTCCAGGGTGTACATAAAGTATACACAAACACAAAGACACCGTCTGGACCCCTCCAGTCTGTCCACATGAAGGGACCAGGCACTGAGGGAGGTCGGCGGCGTCGACAATTCACACGTCCAGGCACTGGACATGGAGCTGGATGCGAGCGCCAAGCTGGGCAACATCAGGTGTGGAGCAGTCAGCCCCAAAAAGGTGTTCTATTTTTAATTCTTTTTTGGAAGAACGTGGATTCTTCTTTCTTGTGCGGAGACTGCAACATGATCTCTCTCTCTCTCTCTCTCATGTATGTATAACAGATACCCTATGATCTGGTCCAAGTGTGCAAGATGTCTGTCTTTTTCATTTTCATCTCAAAAACCGGCTCCGTTCGGCGAAACAACACCAATGGAAAGTGTCTTGAGGATCCGTACTTCCGTTATGGAGAGTCCAAGGATTGGATGGTGGGAGCTGGTGGGAGCTATTTTTGGAGAACCACCGTTGGATGGCACTCATCTCTTCATTTTGCAAGAGGTGTGGGGGGCACAAAGGACTTTCACATCCTTCTCCGGATGTGGATGATTCTGTATTTGAGGTTGCACTTTTTTGGTTGCACTTGCCTTCCAACTCTTGTTCTGGTTACATGGAAGTGGAACACCACCAGGGGCCTCCAATCGAGGCCATGTTCCTTGTGATTCGGTTCGGGTACTTTCATTCCTTGTCCTGGACAAACACAGTGGGTCGCATGAGAACCCATGGGGTCCGGATGAGGATGAACGGCTTTGCAAGGAGCAGGAGGACTCTGCAATCGATCCATCGCATCCCGAAAAACCCAGTGACGCACGCCCTCATGACCCTATCGTGGTTACGTGGATGGCTCCATGATGATTTCAGGGAGTGTATTTGCTATAGAACTTCACAGGTTCAGGTGGGTCCACTGGTGGTTTCCATGTGCATGCAAACGGTTGCCGCTCGAAGGTGGCAGGTCAAACGGTGTGAGAAACTCATTGCTGGGGGAGGTCGGAGAGATATGCCATGATCATCGACGTGGCTTCCTCAGATAGTGATTTTGCTGTGCATCGTCTTGAGAAATGGACTCCAACATGGGGCTGCAAGACATTGTTTTCTCCTTGGAACATGGGCCTGCGTTCCAAACATTGAAACCAGATCCAGATCGGGCCATGTGCGAGTCCTGTCGTAGCTGGCATTGGTGATGTTTAGCTGCCAGAAGTGGCACGTGGGAAGGCACGTGGCGGTGGTGCGATTGCGCAAGGGTTGCGATATGGGAACTTCTTTTTGAGAGCGGGTTCCCCCGGTAGACACCAATTGGACGAACGGGTTGATTTCATGGAATGCGCGCTCTCTCTCTCTCTCTCTTGTATGGAAAGCTGTTCTTGCCCAAAACTCATTGGTGGTGATTCATGTACTGTACCTTTTCCGGCCACGGTCTGGCTCGCGAGCCAGGCGGTCGGCCTTTTCCCTCTCCCTTTTCGTTGCTCTGAGGATGGAAAGATTACCAAGATTGCCATGGGCGAGGATTCGCCCGGCTTCCCGAGCTCGTCCCGGTTGGGGCGGACGTTTCCGGACACGTTTCCGGGCCCCGGTTCGGTCTTCAACCTGTTCAGGGCATGCGAAAACCTGTTCAGAGGGTGGTCTGGATATAGGTGTTTGGTTGGAGTTGGACAGTTTTAGCGCATGAACATTTCAGAAAGCTACCTGACAAAGTAGAGGCCTTGACGAAATCTCAAAAACCACCTCCAAACCTTGCGAGTGGACTTGAGAACCACCGTCCGACGTGCCGTTTGCGGCTGTTCTCGTCTGAGGTTCGCGCCGGAGATCTTGGCCGCCCTCAAGTAGAGGCGGGAAGATGAGTCTGGGCTTCGGAAAGGCAGTGAATCGAACGAAGCAAGTACCCCGTTAAGTGAGTTGAAGACCGTGAGTTGATTTCAAGAGATCTCTGCCATTTTGGTGAGGCAAGTTCCCCAAGTTCTCCAGGTTCGCCAGGTTCCGAACTTTTTGACTGACATCTCAAGGAGGGGCTTTGAAGATCTTTGCAGTGATCGTCGCAGTATGAACAAAGCGATGAGGACAAAAGACCGAGAAATCAGTATAGCTACGACACCGTTTTGTTTTGACACCAAAAAACGATCATCCCAACGGTGTATGCCCATATGGAATCGGGAAGGCTGTGCCCCTTATAAAACGGTTTCACAATGTGCATGTAAGTATAATACGTATACATACTGTAATAAAATGAAAAGGACATGAACAGATTGCGTCTTGTTTTGTCCCAACACGTTGTGCATCCTGCCGGTCTCACTGGCGGGACACATTGCCAAAGTGGTCTGGCCTTCGACATCTGGATCGTCCAGGTAGGCCTGAACCCCAAGTTCGGGACGACATGAACAGACCAACGGAAATCCACTTTTGCCAAAGATGGTCGTTTCAATCCAAGGGTTTGGGATGCGGATGCTTGTTTGGAAGAACATTGGTTTTGACCAATGGCTGTTCGTTTTTCACAGTGGTCTTGCTTGCTGTGAGCTGGCAGGTCTGACCAGCAACTTTTGAGAGGCAATTTTCGGAGCTTTTGACTCCACGCAGTGGGCTCGCGGCAGCACATGCAAGTGAAAACGCGCTATATAAGGATTTGCTTTTGGGTAAGCAACACCGCAGCAAAAACATGCAAAAACCGGGTTTTGGGGGCTCGAAGTGATGGACATTTCTCTTACTGCTTTCACTTGCAGTGTTTGCCCACATCTCTTGGAATACAGAGCTAGTGCCTTGACGGTGCAAGGCGCCTGAGACACCTATCCGGAGCTCAGATCCGAAATGCCGCGAGCGCTCGGAGACTGACCGGCCGCTGTTTCGAACGTGACCCGAAGGACTAATTACGGTTTCAGATGGTTTCAGGCACCTTCAGTTGCCAGGGAGCTTTTCTTCTTTGAATCTATTCAGCGTTTCAAGATATAAGGAAAAACAGCGGTTTGGGCATAAAACTGCCAAACACACAACAAGGAGAGTACTTGAATTCTTTTCATCAACAGCTTTCTCCGGCTCTGAGCCCCAGGCCTCCGCTCGATTGGCTCTCGGTTGCGTGGGCCGCCTGAAGGGGGGGAACAGCCGGTTTCCAAAGGGCGAAAGGTGGGTTTTGGGGTGAAGTATGGTGAGGTGGAGAAAGTCCTTCGGTTTCCGAATGGCTAGATTGGCACCCTGCAAACATCGGAAACCAACCGAGAGGGAGGAAGGCATGCACCATCATATACAAGGTCAAATCTTATGCCAGGGCCTTCTTATAGGTGCTTAAGTGAGTGGATGTTCTCGACACCTCTACCCTCCGTTCGTTTGGCACCACATGGAACTCCTGGTGAGGTTGATTTGCTGTTCAGACTTCTCTTCCGCCGCCTCTTCTCAGCCTATTTGGCACCCAAAGAGCTCGTCTTCCGCTCTTTCCATCAGCAGCGGCCCGCAGCACATCGGTCCCTCCCGCGAACGCTGCTGGCCGTACCGCCTTCGCTGCGCCGCAGAAGAAGCACCACCGCGCCGCAGAACGCGCTCCGCGCGAGGTCCCCATGCGCTCCTCGCGGTCGGTGCCCGGACTGGGCGTCAGTCCGCTGTGGCTCCTCGAGAAGGCGAAGAACCACACGGGCTACGGCTACGACGGCCGCGTGAATCCTGGAGAGGTCCAGTGTACTGCCGTGTCGGGTGACACACCGGAGTCCTGGAGGCAGAAAGGGTGGCACAAGTGGGCGGTGTTGGAGTTCATTGTTTTTGTTTGGACGGTGGATTCTATGTGTGCCCCAAAATAATTTTTCTAAATTTTGTTCTCATGATTCTTCATCTTATTTCTATCCTTGCACATTGAACAACGTTTCTGCATTTTCCAAGTGGCATGGTTGTTTTCCATCTGCCAGTCCACGGTCTTCCCACCCCAAAAGGCCCGCGTCCCGTCCTGCGTTCCTGGATTCTTCTACCACGCGGTGGTCGTGGGCCAAGGACTGGTTTGTGGGCCTGAGGACCATGGAGGGTCCCTTCCATTGCAACACGGTGCCGGTGAGAAGATGTCCTGATGTGAACTTCCGCTCGGACGGACGACTCATCTATACCAAGAAGACCTACCACCAAGGCGCTTTCTTTGGAGGAAACGCAGCGGGCGGGGAAAACCGCCAGGATTCGCCCCCAGGGTTTTGGAAGAAGTCTGGATCCTGACAAAAGATCTAGAAATCCAGTGAAGAAAGCCCTAGTCAATAAGCGAATGGACTGAAGAAAAAGGCATGTAATCCCAGAGAACCCCGTGGTAATTTATGCAGTGCACATTCTTGACCCGACCCATCGACCGGTCGCTCGGGAGGTCATTTCCTGGACATCTCTGAAATCCATCGCAGCTACGACACCAAGGGACGACGCGTTGGCGAACCCAAGAGGAGCGCTGCGAGGGAGGTCTTGGGCGGGGCGTTGGATGGATCGGAACCGCTGAAGAGTGGGTGATACACTGGCGGTGGCTTTTTCCCCCCTCTGAGAAAGGTGGGTGTGTTTTGCTTTCCCTATGGATCATGGATCCACATACCTTCTCAGGTTCGGTAAGACTGGACCCGACAATGGCTGGCGCCTACATCAAAGGATCTCCCTGCTCACCGTGCCGACCTGGTTCGGTCTTTGGATCCGGGTTTCAAAAAAGTCTCCAATCACCTTCTCAGGTATGTGGATCCGGGTTTCAAAAGCTATTGGTGGAACAATGCCCTGTTTGGTCTTGGTCTTTCGGTGTCGGCACCGTCTTCAAAGATCCGCTGCCAGTCTCCAGCTGCCAGTCTCCTCCCATCTGTCGATGCGAACGAAGCCTCGCTCCTTTGTGGGTCTAGAAACACATCTTGGAGTGTTCCGGGTATGGGCGGGTCTATACACCCCTAAAGTAGATAGAAAGAAGTAGAGTCATGTAGATCCCCAAGTAGAAAATGTATTGGACACCGTGCCACGAATACTCTTTGGGGACCACTAATTACCCCTGTGCCTAACTCTGTGCCTGCAGGATTGCCCTTGCTGGCTGTTCACCTCCAGCACATGTGCTGCAGCACGGAGCTCTCAGCCGTGAGACGCCCCCATGGGATGCTGAGAAGTGATTTAACAGTTTGGTACTTAGCTGTGGAGCTGGTTTTCTTTGTCCATAATATGTTCCCTAGTTAGGTAGGTAGATGGTAGAAGTGAATCCCTTCTGGCCATTTTGTATAGGGGCCATAGTACCCTTACTGCCAGTTGTTGAAGTCGAGACGTGTTTTTGTTCAAATAGCAGATAGCAGGTGATGAGCAAACCAGGAAGTCGAAACATCATAGCGTTTACTTGCAGGATAGAGTGTGCTGGAAGATGTTTTCTAAATGCATGGTTTTATTCAATGGGTTTGTTTTACTCAGCGTTCAGAGTGTTTTGATTGCACAAGACCTACCGCAAGGAAGTTGGCAGGCAACCCATAGGTTGTTTCTAGAGGTTTCTATAGGCAGCCCATAGGTTTCCCTTCATCTTGGGATTGTGGGTCTCATATGTCCAACCCTCCAAGGGCTTATAGGGCCAACCCTCGGAAGCAGGGTCCTCGTGGAAACCTGGCTTCCGCTGTGAAGCGGGCACACTATTGAGTGGCATGAACTTGTGCCAGATGAGGTGTGCCCTTTTGGGGGAAAGCTTGATTGGGCTACCTTCGCTGGTGCTGCCGGTCTGCTGCTGGTTTTCTGCTGCTGCTGCTGCTGCTGCCTTGCTGCTGCTGGTTGGCTACTGCTGCTGCTGGCGGTTGGCTGCTGTTGGTTTGCTGCTGGTTGGTTGCTGCAGCTGCTGCTAGCTGCTGCTGCTGCTGGCTGATTGCTGCCGGTGCTGCTGCTTGCTGCTTGGTTGCTGCTGGTGCTGCTGCTTGCTGCTGCTTGTCGCTGCCGCTGCTGCGGCCTGGGCTACAAGGCCTACTCATTTGCTGCCTGTCATTGTCTTGCACGCCCTATGATTATAGCAGGCTTCTTCCATTGCAGACTGGGTATTGGACACATGATATCAAGCTTGGTGGCAGGCCTGTTTGGTGAAACGCGGTGCCCCATGCGGAAACAAGTATCGCAAGGACGTTGCCGTGACTTAGTCGCGGCGTGGTGCCCCAGTATTTGATTGGTTGCCACAACTGCACTGCAAGGACTTTTGTATTTGTGTTTGTGAGTTGCAGTTGAAGCCTTCTTTTGTTGGAAAGGTGGATCTGGAGAACCTTGTTCTGTATGTAGCGTTTACAATGGGGAAGGCCAGCAGTCTTGACTTTAGTGCTGACTTTTGCAAATCGGCGTTCTATGGTGATTTCGTACCCCACATGCAAAATGAATCAACTTCAACGGGCACCAGTAACTCTTAAGTGGCCCATCGAATGTGGTGGATTCGATGATGCGTGAAGCCCATACCAAAAGGGCGATGGCAATACTTCAAAAAGTGGCTTCAACCTGCGCACCCCCTTCAGACGAAGGCTAAGGATGCCTTCTTCAAACTCATCTCCCAATCTGATTGAAAGCTTCAATTCTTCCATCTACCAGCAAAATCCACCCTCTTGGATTTCATGCCAGTTGCGGGTGTTCGTCGCTTCAAGGAAGTGGGCGAACCACGGGCTCGAACGCCCAAGTCGCCCAGCTGGCTAGAGAAAGCCACGGCCCCTCGTGCCAAAGTGAATCATTTGGCGCATGGTGCCTGGCCAGAAGTGGGAGGTCGAGTGGGAGGTCGAGTGGATTTCGTAGAATTTATGTCTGAAAGAGAGGTTTTTGGACACCCTCAAGAAGGAGCGAATGCAAGGCCTACTGCAACTTAACTTCTAACCACGACCCTTGAAACCGGTCCCTGTGAAATCGGTTTCTGACAGTATTGTCTGATGATTATTGGGCTTGCAAAGTTGGCCGTGCCATGTCCGGCTCTTGGTGAGACCCACTGCTGTTTGCACCCAAACAGTTGTTTGCAGAGAAACCATGAGCAACATCACTGTGCAGCGGATTCTTCTTCAATGTTGTTGCCAAATGGCTTACCGCCTAACTTCTTCATAAGTCTTCCCAGCCCCCCATGCGTTGGTCAGTGACACATCGATTGGTCCGGTGAAAACGCTCCGCGTGGGATTTGCTCAACTCGGTCTCGGGCTGACGGAGTTTTTTTCGTTTTTTTTTTTCCATGTTTTTCAAGTTTTCCCAGACACCCACCTCGCCAGTCAAAGAGACTCGTTATATATATATATATATGTATCTTGTTATAGTATCTCTCAAGTTGATGACCCCTTGGTGTCGGACATCTTTGCCTTGACATATGACGCCCAACACTTGCTTAGGTGGATGCTCAGTCATCAGCAATATGTGAGCCATGTATATACACGGTGCCCGAGAAGAGCTACCGACACCGTTTGGTGTGACTGGTGCTCTGATCGGATATTGAATGCATCACCTCTTTTGCCCCGTGTCCGCTCAAGGCGGGTCTCAAGCGGGGCCAATTCACGATGCCGAAAAGTGGTGGAAAAGTCGGTGCTTGCGGCGTCGGCTGGTTTGTTTCGGCGAGAAAAGGACACACATCACCAAAGTCCAATCAGATACTCAGATTGCCTTCTATTTATATACATGTAAAACAATGCAATCTGAACCTCTGAAGTGCTTTCATCTCAGCAGGACAGGTTTGGAGGGCTCAAAAAGACAGAGACATCGGAGCTGCTGTTCCGAAGGGGGCAGTATTCTTCAGTCAGGGATGGTGCTGGTCCTGGCTGTGGTGATTCTGAAGTGAACACCTCTACACACCCCCATACATCTACCTCATACATAGACAAGCTGATCCCATGAAAAGATAAGCTGATCCCATGAAACATCTCCTCGACCGCAAAAATATCATGAAAATTCCGTCGATATAGGGACCATGATTTAAAAAGACCTCCGGTGTCACAGAGCTTGGGCTACGGAACATGGACCTCCCCCCCCCTCGGCCAGGGGATTCGTGCAGCAGTTCGTTCGTGTCCCCTTTCAGAAAGGGGGATTCGTTCGTAATATGGACATCCCAGTGCCATCATTGCTCTCTCTCTCTCTCTATATTGGCGACGGTCGCCCATGGTCTCGTGTTACTCCGTGTTCTCCCTTGTCGACCCTCGTGTTGCTGAGAGTCAACCATGTTTCACCGAGACACAGACTCTTTCAAAGAATGGTGACGTGGAGGCCCCTGGAAATATCCTTTGCCTCTACAACCTGGAGGTTTGTTGGAAGGGGAGGTACTTGTTTGGACTTCAGCAGACTTCCACATACTTGTGCATGGAATGAAGTACGCAGGACTGCTCCTGGAGTGCTTCCAAAGCAACCCCAGGACCGAAACCGCTCATCGCTCGCGGAAACCACCGCTCGTGGACCTTCGTGTGTTTCTGGGCGCATGGACGGCCTTTGTGTGGGCCTTTGTGGGCGATCCCCGACGGAAGGAGTCAACAAGACACGCTTTCCACAACGGACACGCAGTCAACAGCACGGTACCTGTGATTCGCTTTGCTCACATGGAAACAAAAAGTTGAGTGTAGGAAAAAGGCCGCCCAAGAACCAGAGCAACCATGTGGCAGGGTGATTTTGTGATGCTTGTTGGAGAAGACTCCTTCTTCTTGGTTCTTTGAAAGACTTTTTCTCTGTTTGTCCAAGCGGCTACAGGCAACTGACCAAGTCCTACCCAAGAACACCATGGGGGACTAAGGCATCACATGGTCGTCGTTTTTCCGTGTGGACCGGGCTCGATCTCCGCCAGGTGACGATTGGCATCAAGGTGCCCTGGGGTGATGTCCGCCGGAACCCTGGGTCGACAGTGGGACGGAGGTTCATTGAGTCGACAGAGCTTGTTGCCTGAGAAACACAACGTGTTTGAAGCTTCTGCAGTTGGAGACACTTGTGAGCGAGTGGTACTAGGATTGCATCATCCAATGACTGTATGCTTCAGAGAAGCTGCTTTAAGGATCTTGAAAAGGTCGTTTCTTGGAAGACATTACTGTAGAACTCGTAAGGTTTGTGCACAGATGCCTCCTTTGTTTGCACATTCTTTTGACTAAGAGTACCATGGAGAACTCGAGCAAGTCAAGATGGAGAACTGGACAAAGATCATTGGACCTCAGTTTCAGCCTGCCTCCCAGACTGCCATGAGAGAACGAGTTCTCCCATCGTCAATCGTTGGTGGTCAACCCGAGTGTCAATCGTTGGTGGTCCAGTGGGGTTGTCATGGGATAGACCATATCCCTTTAAAGACCTTCGAAGACCTGCATTTGAAGCGCAAGATGTCACCTTCACCAGGAGAGTTTCGAAGTGTTTGCATGCCATTTTGGCCCAGAGACAAGGTATCGAACCCTTCCTTGTTTTTGATGATGTTTTCCACGTACGCAACAGCACAGGGCTGATTGTGATTGAACGTTTAGTCAATCAACAGGACACCAATGGACCAGCGGCTGGTTTGAGGAATCAGTCCTGTGCTGCTTGACTTTCGCGGACTGTGCGTCCATGCTCCTCCACTCTGTGGCTTTGAGCTGCCTGCTGATCACCGAAGCGACTCTGGACTTGCCCTCTTGTAGCCGGGCCAGAAGCAGATTATATGGGCCATGGTGCGTTGATGTGGAGGGGTTTCTTCAGTAAGAAATGGAGTCAATCAATGAGCTGTGGATTTCAGCTGCGTGGTTGGCAGCTTGAAGTTGGAGATTGGTTTCTGCCATTCGCTGAGCGCAGTGGGAGACGAACAGAAGAGGACTTGATTGTAGTTATACTTGGTTTAATCATGACCTTGACGGGACCAGGGTCTTTACCTTTTCTATTCCGGACACGACCTCGTCGGAGGCCCGTGTGCAGAGTATGACAGTATGACTGTTCACCATTTCTTTCCACGGGATTTTCCCAAATCAGTCAAGCAGGACTGGAATGAACAGTGAAACATCTGTCAGTCTCTCTCTCTCTCTCTCTTTTTCTCTCTCAGATTCAAGCTGAATGGCCGTCCCACGACCAGAAAAGCCAAACAATAGGGACGGCTCGCCAGAGAGAGAGGCCACGGTTCTCAGCGGCACAGGCGGTGGAAGACCCCACCGAACCGGGAGCCCCTCTGAACCGTGCACCCGCACGACTCCGAGTGGAAGACTCCGAAGCCTTACATGAGAGAGGGTATCCAGGTCCATTTTGAGACACCTTCTGCTTGATCACTGGCAGGAGTGATTGGTTTCCCGCACCTGGCCATCCATGGAAGCCAATGTCAATCTGGATTGACATCCGGTCAAATATTCCCCGAGAAAACCAACAAATCAATACAAATCATATTCAATACCGGTGATTTTGTTCAGGAGCTTTGGTGTGACATGTCTGCTTTGATAGAGCACCTGAGCTTGAACACACAGAGGTATTGATCTTAGGGGATCTAGCCGGACCAACTGCTGAGGTTCTTTCCCGCCCAAGTCTGTATCTCTACCTCCCGGCGAACCCCGTGGTGGCATGACGCCATATGGGGTCATCAGACCTCCAATGGCAGTTGCAATCATTTCCTGATTTTGGAGTTAGCAACGATGAAGCACTTAGAAACCGGACCTGGGGACCACCGCCACAGCAGCCTACACCACCCCACTTCCACCCGCGGAACGAGTTGGTCGCCCGAGTTAGGCAGCGACTGGGATGCGGACTGGGATGCTTGCCTTCCAGATGATGACAAGCTCCTGCTTCAAACGGGCGTCCGAGCCTGGGCGGCCACAGGTGTTTGTGATGATGTGGAGGGGAGGCAGCGATCGAGAAGGTTCGTGCCAGGTGAGCAGTGAGCAACATGAAGGCGGTGTGTGCGACTGCACCGAAGGTTTTGGGTGCATTGGGACCCAGATTTCTGGGCGACTGGCGACTTACTAAAGACATTGGCCGAGTCTTACAAAACGGGAAGAATCCTTCAAGTTGGGTCAGAATCAGAATGGGAAGACGAGGCCATGACTGGAATGAAACCAAGCTGTCTTGGTCAAGCAACGGGTTTTGCGTCAAAGGAAGCCCAGTTCTCGCCACATCCTCCACAGAAAGATAGGCAACACAGTGGGTGACAGGAGTTGCCCAAAAGCTGACTTTTGGACAATAACTTTGGGAGCTCTGTGCATACACGGACGCAACACTGCATTTGGGTGAGAAAAGACATGAATGTCTGCGGATCTTTTTGATAAAACCTGCAGCACACCCTGTCACCCTGTCACCCTGGTGCCCAGAACAAGGAGTGGTTCATGCACCATCTGGCAGTGGATCCAAACCTGGAGCTCCAAAGCCTGGTAAGTTGTACCTCCTGTAGGTCGTCTATGCTGGTCATTTTCGGGAAGACCCCGGTGCGATGACCTGCGAAGATCGATCGGTTACCACTGGTGTTCCAGCATCAAAGCTCTCTCTTTACAAGGCCGAGGCATGCTTCCAAAAGACCATATATTTGTAGATTTATAGTTATATATATATATATTCATATGGTTGTAAAATATGCATACTATACTACCCTGGTATACTGTTTTTCCATGTGTTCAACACCTATGCGCTGCTTCTCTCAATGGAGGAATGCCCAAGCATTTGGGAGAGAAGAAGCACACAGAAGCTCCACCTGGATTCCACCGGGTTGGCTTGCTCCTCTGGGGAGATCGGATTCGATGTTGTTTCACCACCCACTGCGACCAGTCCTCGACCTCGTTTGTAGACCAGTCCTCGACACCAATCGAAGTGTTCATCGCGGGAGGATCGGAGGATTCGGCGTGGGCTGAAACCGTGGTGAACGGTGGGCTGTAGAAGAACGAAGACTTTCGTCATTGGTGGATGAGGTTTCACCCCATGCGAAGAGGTTAAAACCAGCACAGCTTGGGTTGTTTCTTTTTCGATTCATCGTTCTACATCTATCGACTCATTGACCCTGCGCCATCCAAAGGGGCGACTTTAAAAGTCCTCGAAGTCGAGAACCGAGTCTTTCGGACCTTCTGAGCCCCAGCCGCGCCGCGCCGCCCGAGGATTGTACCCCATGAATTCCACGGTGAGTGCCGACGCGCCAATGATCCAACGTTCTGAACTGGGAAACCTCACCTTGTTCACAGAACATAGCTTCCTGGCCAAAGAAGCGCGCGTGCGGTGAGTTGGGTTGGAATGGATTTTCACCTGTGGTGATTTTGTTCCTTAATCATTGCAACTGCCAGAGTTCCCTGGGCAAGAATTTCATCCTTGATCGCAGAGTTGGCTGGGCCTACCCAGCCAAAGGACCAGTAACTTCCTCATTGAGAAGTTTCAAAGAGGCCTGCCCTACTCCCTGAACCTCTTCAAGAATTGTGTCACTGGGGTGCCACAGTCCAAGCATGATCATACCGCATAGTGCGTGTTCTTCCGCGGGAGCAATGAGTGGGGAGTTGTTTCAGTGGTGAGGGTTTCCCCGCGCCATCGCTTGCTGCCTTCTCCCAGGCTTAAGAAGGCGGGCAGTTGGGCAGTTGTGTGAGATGTGATCCACGCAATTGGAAAGGGCTGTCCCTTTTGGAAGGCCTGGGTGGTGTTGAAAAGCCCTGAACTTGACTCTGAAAGGCAAGTGGGAAACCGGGCTACAGGGCGACATGTTGTAAACAACTATTACTATTTTTGAACAAGGCCTTTACTAACCATCATCATCCACTGAAACCAGGTATTAGGATAAACCCAAGTTATCTTGATGTTCAGTTGTATTGAATGGATCGGAAGGGAATCTGATGCTTCGAGAGTCCCGCAACTGACTCCTGGTTCCTGTGTGGGGTGATACCGGAAAGGAACACTGGGATTCCTTGGCTGGACTACGACGGAAGTTCAGCTGTTCTTTATGCACAAGAAATCATAACATGTATGTTACAATAAGCAGAAGAGAGAGCTTCCGGTTCTTCCGGTATCTCATGTCGTATGGACCTATAGGGACCTATATATACGGCAAGCAGATATAAGTTGCTAAAAAGAAATGGATCCAACAAACAACCTCAGCTGGTTTGAGTCTCAGCAAAGCCAGGGAGTTTTCTTCGGTGTGTTTGCCTGCCACTCAACCCATTCAACATTGGAGGCCTCACAGGCGGCCCTCACAGTCGGCCTCACAGTCTGTGACGGTCGCTCCGTCGCTTCTCCGACTAGCAACGTGTTCACTCTATCCACACGAACACTCTATTCAAACGAACCTCGTCAAGCACAAATACCAGAGCAACTTGTTTGATGTGACTTACCCATACTGGCCCTTCCAGAGTTGAACTGAAATCCGCTTCAGGGTGTTCATTATTGGGGCCGCATCGAGGCTTAGCTGCGTGTCTGCTTTCTAGCTGCACCGAGAAGCTCCAAAAACTCTCTCGCATTCGTGGACGGTCCGTCCCCACCCCACCTGCAACGTGTGCCTGGGCCCTTCATCGCGCAGGAGTGTCTTGGAGAGCGGCGTGAAGTTTGGGCCCAAGACCAGCGCTGCGTTGTTTCTTTTGCTCAGCTGCACCTTGGATCGGATCGGGGTGAACCCGGCCGTGGGCCGAGAAGACATGGAAGACGTTTGGGAGTCGGATGAGTTGAGGATCCTCAGTCGGATGATGGGCCTTGATCCCTTAAAACCCATATTATATCGAAACCTTCATCGTGTGGGGTGTGTTTATGAATCAAGAGTCTACCGTAGACGGTTCGGATTTTGTGGGATTTGATCTAAGCTCAGACGTTCACTGAGTCGTTCATGCGGATCCTGAGTCATTCATGGTGAGACCGGCATTTGCGGACCTACTCGAGGGCTGTGTGGATCTCATGTCGCGACGTGAGGCGACCGACCACGCGCACGCGGGTGGCAGTGCGAAGCAAACCCAGGACTGAAGAACACATACCTTCCGAGACGCGATGTGCTGACCCGCAGTGGAACTTGTTGGAACTTGTTGGAGCAAAAGCACGGCGTCTTCTTGACCTGACTGCCTCATCCGGACCCCGTCCGATCGAACTCGAGCCGGTAGTCGGTCTGGTCGTCCGAAGCGGCCAACGGGCCCCGAGGTACCTTTGGCTTCGCGTGCCTTTGTGGGAACGCGAAGCCCTTCATCACGGCTCCGCTGCTCAGCAGCGATACGAGTCCGGCGAGTCCGGGCTCGAGCAGGAGAAAAGGAGCAGCACGAAACCGTGTTGCGCCTTTTGGAGATGGACAGCATATGAGTCAAGGGGGGTCTTTTGCTTTAACCACATTTTGGATGATCCAGGTGTAGAAAATTGTAGAAATAAGTGTCTGTGTTCTGCATTCATGTCCATGACATGCGGCGGGGCCTGTACTTGGAGCGCTTGGAGGAACCCTCAGAACTTGTGGCGCTTGCCACATCGCCAAAGCTTCCTGGAAAACGCAGTCCCAAGCAGAAACACACGTGCAATATGGCAACTGAGTTACATAAAAACAGGACACATCCATCCATCCATGTTTCCAGTTGGGACTGGCTTCCCTGCGGGGTCTTTCAGCTTCCAACCGATGGTCCAGGCCACCCAACTCACCTCAGCCGGGGGGGGGGTTCTGCCATTCTGCCACTTCATGGGAATCAGGGGCTGTTGCATATGGACTGAATCAAGTGGGAGGGATTGCAACCACTGGCCATCGGCACATCTCGGCACCCCCCCCAAAAAATAAACGAGCAGTGGGACTACTATAGCTCGACGGACTAGTACGGTAATTAGGTGGTGTAATGATGTGGATGGATTTTTTCCGATTTGTCGGCACGAAGTGGGCATTCGAGGTACTCGGAATTTCCGGAAGAGGAGGAAAGCGAAGAAGTGCGCCAACAGTCCCTGGTGGCTTGCTACTTCGTCGTGGCTTGGCCCGGTGCTTCGTTGGTTCTTTCTTGCTTCCGAGGGGGCGGGGATTCATGGTTCAACCCGTGAGAGAGGGGAACAGGGTGGAAGCCGTTCCTTTTGGTTTTCACACTCCCTGAAACCAATAAGCATGGAAGTGGAAGCCTAGGCCCCTGGAAGATCAAAGTCCGCTGAAAGTGAGACCATGGTCTTGACGGAGGGCAGTGGTTGATGGTCGTAGTCACACCATGCCACACCCAATCCTTTTGAATAGAAGCTTCATGCAAGTTCGGGTACACTTCTTTCTGGGACATCTACAAGGGACTCTAGGCTTTCTTCGACTTGTGGGAGTCTATGCTGGATGCCCTGTTACATGACAACCTTCCTCCCTTCATTTCGCTGCAAAAACCAGTCTTTTGCATCACGACACCAGTCACACAGCTGGTGCCAGAGCTTCGTCGGTTTGGCGCGACCCTCCGGTCCCGGCTTCACTTGCGTGGGCCGCCCAGAACGCCGCATGGGCCAGCTTTCGTGAAACCAACGCAGCAAAAAAAAGGAAAAAAACCCTACAAGACCCAGTAAAAGCCTGGTCTTGTATGACCAACTCCAGGCAAATGGAGCGCAGTTTCTGATTAAAGAAGTAGTAGTAGTAGTAGTAGTAGTAGTAGCAGCGGCAGCAGCAGCAGTAGTAGCAGTAGCAGGAGCAGGAGTAGGAGTAGCAGTAGCAGGTTGTCGTCGTCATCGTCGGTGGAGGTCTTCATGGATGCCTTTGGCTTCGGCGTCTACGCGCCCTTCGTCCCGGTCTTGGCCAAGACGTTCTCGTTGCAGTTGCACGACATTGCCACCGTCTTAGCGGCCCAGCAGCGATTTTGGCCGGGCCGAGGAGACCATGTGTGGCTATCCTGCTTGGTGGGGAAGATGGATACTTTCGGGAAGATTGAGTACACCTGTTTGCGGAGGTGTTTTGTTTGGGGGTCACCCTGACAAAGAATGGTGGTGACAGGCTTTGGACACTTGGGACATCAGAGGATCCGATGTGGGCCAACTAATTCAGTTCCTTTGGATTCTTTTGGTTCAAGGGATGAAGCTCCATATGGCTTTCATGATTTCTACGGATTTCCCCGGGAGAGCCATATCGAACTGCGCACTTGGGGCTTCTCTTTTTCCCCTCGAACGTACAGAACTTTACAGAAACCATTCCAACCTCGGAACCGAGCGACGTCGGGCGCCCAGCGCGTCATGAGCAGCTTTTCGAGCGGCACCGAGGCGGTCTTTTCCTTGGCCCAAGCGCTGAATACGCCCATCCTGGGATACCTCTCAGATCGCTTTGGTCGGCGGCCGGTGCCCTGGAAGAGGGGTTGGAACGCAGGGGCCCATGGTGGAATTTTGAAGGGGAGCCATGGCACAAGGTGCATGTTCAAGTTTTGAACGGCTGGTCATGCTGGTAGGCATCAAGTTGACTAGAGCAATCCGTGACCCCAACGGTTTGATGATTCCAATGGTGCAAGATTGGCGTTGTCCTTCCGAATAGTGACCACCGGTGATATAAATAGCGGGGAGTCATTAGTCCTAAACACTCCCTGGCAAAGACGGTGAAGCCTTTCAGGGTGACCAGACACATACCCAGAAGTTGAGCGACCTGGACCACCAACCCCGGTGTCGGATGGGTTCCAGAAGCACGGTGAACCTGAAAAACCAGGGCCTCCAGATTTGGCAAACCACGAGTTACTTCGCTGGGACGTCCCAGTCGTTCCAGGCCGTTGCCTGGTTCCACCGCCGAACGGGACCGTCCCGCCCTCCGTTCCGCATAATATGCTATTTTTGTGTTCCGGGCACCGGCCCGGCCCCGGCCCGGCCACCGGCCTGGTCACCGGCCCGGTCACCGGCCACCGGCCCGGTCACCGGCCACCGGCC